CCCGAAAGTCGGCAGAAACCCGAGTAAAATAACTACCGTAACACACATACTAATCAACCAATCAGAACTCGACAATTCTGACAAGTATGTTAAAGATACTCATAAAGTCAAACCTTCATTGTCTTTAGCTGTCTTTTAATTGACAAGAAACTTGAACTCTTAGAAAGCTTATGCGTAGGGATCATTAGCGGTCCTGGTGTCCAAGATGGAATATATTCTTTGTTTTTATGATGCATAGCCTATAGTACATGAAACGTACATAAGAATCCATTTTGTAAAACTGATTTATAAGAAAATAAATAGATAAACAAGCAACTAAACATGAGAAACTGGTAGATAGGGGTTGAGGGACGAAAAACAAAAACAGTGGCTTCTGAGCACACAATTTCTCGTGTGCACATGATGATCGCTCTCCGATTGCTTTTTCACAGGCTGATGATAGCGCATTTACTAGAAATTAGTCTCCAAATCGTTTATTCTTGGGAACTAATAAAAATTGCACATAATTTCAATGAATTTACCAGGATATAGAGAGTCTTGACATTAGAGGGTATCTTAGGTATTTCATAATGAATGACTCCATCGTAAACTGTGTATTGCTTCTCAAAGATTTTAACAGAAAAATCCTCAGTACGAGCTGTGATGTTGACTTTCTCATTGTTCGCGGGCTTTCCATCAATAGTAGTCACTGACAACTGTTAACAACAAAGTTAAAGAATACAGTGAAAAAACTAAAAACATAGTAAGGATTAAGTAGGCCTAACCTGCACTGAATTATGTGATCTGAAATATATTACGCACACTTATTAACACTTAACTCACTTAAAAGTTATTTTAGTGATTTTGGTACACGAGAGTGCTCATCGTGTTCAAAACTGTAAATTCGACCATATAAAAACTGTAACATTCCATGGCCGCAGACTTACCACATCAGTGAATGGTAAACCGGGCCGGAAATATCTTGTTGTGCCTCGGTTAGAAGTAATCTTTAATCTAAACGGCTCTATTTTGGTTTCTGTGCGTCCTGACTTTGTTATTCCAGTAACTTCCTCAGTAACATTCGCAGTTATTGTGCAGTTGTCGCTAGGTTGACTAAAATAGGAGATCCTACTAAGATTAGTCAGTCCAAGATCTTCGTTACTGAATGAGAATTGAACACAGCCTTTAATCTGAAATACATATTTTGTTATATATGATTAGAATATAAAGGAAGAACTGACCGGCCTGTGACCCAGTCTCGCGCTGAAACTGTAACAGTAAACCCTCCAAAAGCAGGTCAAGCGATCTTTTTTGCCTTTCCCCTTGAACGTCATGCTTTTAAAAAGCAGTCTTTTATTAAAAGCTCTCTAATATAACTGTTTATGTACGAGTATTTTCCTGAGAAAGGGATTTTGAAATTTTCTTCTCTTTAAAGTCAAAAAAGGCTTGTATAACGTTTTTATGGTCAAAAACGGCTTAATCAGTATTTTTTTAATTCGGAATTTTTTATTTTCTTGGTAAAAGCTCTTAGGAAGTATTCCTTGCCTGAAGAGTTCTTTTGTCCTGAATTTCTCGCTGGCAACCAGCTGTGACTTACAGCTAGCTGGGAAATAATAACATGATATATTTCTCCCAGGAACCCGGCTGTTCCTCCTAAATATACAGCCATTTTCAAAATGTTCGACCGCCAACATATATCATCATAACGGCATGGTGCATCATGGGTAATATCATGCGATGGTCGCTCTTATCTCGCTAAAACAGAAATCATTTAAATAATTTGAAATTGTGTTTAAACATAATACGCAGTTTTATGACAAATTAAAGGTTTAAATACCATATATCTAGATAGATTCACGATTTGTCGGCAATTAGCGGCGAAAATATTTTCCATTAAAAATATTGATAAATAACAACAGAGATGAACTCAGTGTTGATTTATAGCTGTAACAATGAAAAATGGTAGTATTTTACTTGAAGAATGCTTTTGAATGACATTAAAGCGAGGATACTTGTCATAGTTATAAACACTAGTTTAGGAATTACTATAAAATAGGTATGCGTACCTTGGTTGATATGGTTTTTGAGGCGTAGATCTTAAACCGTCCTGAGGGCTCCACAAACGCAGCTAAAGCAGAGTTATTTTGGTTAGTCGGTTGTTATTAGCAAACATGTAGAATATGCATTAATTGCTGAACGCCTACTGAAGCAGTAACGACAATTTCAAAAGTAATAATACAATCATCAATCTCAAGCCCAATGTCTTCCCGAATAATTGTAAGCGCCGGTCTGGTGATGTTGGAAATTCTACTACTGAGGAGAATCCAGTGAATTGGCGACTCTCTTCAGTTTCAAACAAATTAGGAAAATTTTGTTTTCCGATTTTTTTGCAGCACGAAAACGAAGAAAAAGACAAAAGTTATGGCAAATCATAACAATTATTTATTATGTAAAAGTTCAGGAATTAATATTACACCTTAATCGACCTTAATCACAACAAAATAACAAAATATTGAGATAAAAGTGACAATGAACTTACGAACGCATCGCAAATCGCATCCATCACTACAGCACTTGTACGGTTCACTGTGATTACTGAGATCTGAACATTCTGAATCCGATGAACAGTCGTCGTATGGTACATCTGGGCATTCTTCTGGAGTAGGAAAGATAGGACATRTCGGAGSCRTCTKGTATWSCTTTCGTAATTTAATACAAAAAAGTGAATTAATACAAAGTCACGCAATTGAAAAGTTGCCTTAGTTTTTGAATTGTGAACGCAATTCTGCGAGGAGACCGTTTGCGTGTCATTTTTGTGTATTTGTACATTTACATTCGACTTCCTTTTTCTTTCGTTGCGTGGTTGTCAGGTTGATTAGTTGTTTGGTTGTTTTAATGGATTGTTTGGCCGGTTGCGTAGTTTTCTAGCCTGCAGTTATTATTCTATTTTTAGTGTTTGATTGCATCAATCTGATTTTTTTTCTGTTATTTTGAAAATATCACCTTCATTTCGATGGCAATCACAGCTTTCAGATCTCCAATGACTGGTTGGCCATGGTTATACCTAGATCAAAAGGATGATTTCATTGATCAGGCAGTCCATATCAGCAACAAGTGATTTGGAGTTTAACATTACTTAAAATGATGAAGATGAACAATTAGAATCCTGAAAAAGCTCTTGGATTCATAGAATAAGCCACCCGTTCTTTCCGGACTCGAGATGGTATAGCGAAATTGAAAAAGTGTAAGTTTTTTGAATAAATTACTGTGATGTAAAAATGAAGTGTTTTAAAAGACACCAAACAACATAAATCATCCATGGACACTGAACCTACCGTGCGCATATTCTACCGCTGACATGTTTGCTGTCAAHAGCAACAAATGAAGGCGGCTCGATAATGACTTTGAATTTTGGTAGCACTGAGAATGAAACACAACATAACTATATTTAGGGCCTGAACGTGGTTCGATGGGCGCGGCATKTTTTACGTTTTACCCACAAAAAGACGAAAATTAAAATACGTRACTCAATGTTTCTGGATTTCTGAACTTCTCAACGTCAGCGAGATAAACAAACCCCGATTGTTGGAAAGAAGCAGTATTTCATTTGCAAAAGGTTCCTACGAAGATACCTAAATTACATTCATGGGTACATGGAAAATGAGAGCACATGAAATTGTTTATTATGAACATAAAACAGAACAGTCCTTTTACCGTATTTCTTGACAATAATGATCTTTTCCGCYTGTTTGTTCTAAAGAAAAAAACAATGAACTTTCAGGCATTGCCCGAAACTTTGGACATTTATCAAAAACAATAGAATGCTATTATTTTTTCATGAGAAAAAAGATTACAAACACGACTTGAAAAGAGATACACGTACCAAACAGAGGCTTATATAAAACAGAAATATGATAACATAGAGCAATTTGGCAAAAAAGGAACAGTTTCCACTGAAATGTTTCACCACAGAAAGCCCAAGAGCTCTAAATCCACTGCAAACGTAAAAATATAAAGAAAAGGAAGGCTTTGGGCTCCCTGATTGCTTCCCACCATGCAATGAATCGAACGCGAAAAGCAAATGGCAGCATAGCGATTGTTTTGGTGAGTTTTGGTTCTTTATTTATGCCTTTTTTTGAAATTTTTTACGAGATATCATGGCGACTACGAGCCTAGAAAATAACCTCTGTGGGAAGCTCAAAGTAGTTTTACTTCGCAGTCTATAAAAGCTGTTTTGAATCAGCTAAACACTCATCTACTACGTGAACCGACGTAGAGCAGTTGTCCAAGTCGACGATTTCTCCAACTATTTTCATCTTAAAGTGGCTAAGGTATGCCAAATAATAGAGCACATTAACCCTATTAAGACTGGGAGAGGGGGGAAGTGGGGCCTTTTGAGCCCCCCTCGAGTAAAATGCCAATAACTTTCAAACCAAGACAGTTACAACTCTGAAATTTTTTCTGTTTAATTATATGTATTTTTTACCTATTTGAACTTGCACCCATTGCTGATTGTACAATACCATAATAGTTTTTTGACAACAAAAACTTTGGGTGGAGGCCGTAGGTAGTTTTCAATCATTTTTTCAAATGGGAGAAACTTTTCATCATTAAAACTTCGAAACTCACTTTTTATACATTAAATGTTAGTTTGAGAAGTATTTCTAAAATATTTAGGATACTACGCGCGCTGTGATTGGTCGAAAACCATGTTTGATTACAGTATCAAAACACGCTCGCGCACGTCAAAAATTTCTTTTTTTCTTTTAATTTTAGAAAAGAAATAAAAGACGAAATTCCGTGTTTGATACTCTGATCAAAACACTTGGGATGTAGGGAGAGCACTCGAAAAGCTGGAAACCACTCCGCTACGCGTCGTGGTTTCCTACGCTTCTCTCGTGCTCTCCCTACATCCCGCGTGTTTTGATCAGAGTATCAAACACGGAATTTCGTCTTTTATTCCTTAATTCATACATTTTGAGCTATTTGACTCAATGCTGAGTTTTTTTAATGGGATTTCAAAAAATCCAAGATGGCTGTCCAAGATGGCGGATCCTAAGATGGATGGATATTCTTGCCAAAATTGCTTGTTTKAGATTTTTCAATTAAACTCTTTTTCACTTTTTTTAAACTTAACTTTAGCTTGAAAATGTAGCCACTGCATTCGCGATTATCATTTGAAGTAGAACTGGGATAAATTATAGATTTGTAATTTAGGAAAGCTTACATTTTCCCATCGATCTTACGTACCAACTGAGCGAAATCCATTAGAGCTATCTTACGACTTTTAGGGGGTGCCATTGTTATTTTATATGGCTGTATGGCCACCATTGTTATGCAAAATGCGCATGCCCAACCCAAAATTTCTGGCAATGTTTAGATCACAAGCAGCCTTAAAGTCTTTATAGAGTTTCAAAAAGTCCCTCGAAATTTTTCTTTATTTTTTGTGAGTCCAAAGAAAGTCTACCTTATTATAATAACATGTTTTTCCTCAAAACCGACGTGTTCTGAAGCGTCATATTTACATATAAATGTTGAAACTAAGAGTATGCAAATTTCTCGGTTTACAAACCTTGTACGTGTGAGCAGAAGTCCCTGGAGTTTGCTTTGCAGCTAAAATAAAACAGGTTGAAACTGATTAATGGCAATCCGACACGATCAACTTTACAAAGCATAGTAGTAATCACTTTTCAGTTACAAAAAGCATTGCTTGTTATTGTCAGTGAAAATGCAATAACTACATTGTAGTTTCRCATTTAATTAACTCTTTGACTCCCAGGTCGGCCGAAACCGCCCGTAAGAAAAGTTACTCTTTAAAAAAGTCGTTTCTTTCTGAAGCGACTCAGCTTGGTTGCAACTTCCGTTTCAACGTCAACCCTAGGTATTTTTCTATCTTTAAGTAAATTGAGGACAATACGCGATACTTACTTAATCGGTAGCTCGCTACAATGATCCATTTACCAAGCACAGGTTGTTTGGAAAGAGGCATCTCAACATTAGCAATACCTAAAGTCAATTAAAATACAACAAGTCAAACTGTTGTTCCTGCTAGTGATTGAATTGTTAAACTTTAACAAATTTTGAAAATTTGTCCACCAAACTTTCAATCGTAATGTCAGCTTCGTAATACTCAGTTATGATGTCTTACCGTTTTTGAAGTCGACGTCATCCCACTGAGCCATGCGTACTCCATTTGGATTCTATATGATGCAAACATATATAGCTAAAATAACCAAAACATGACATCTAAAAAACATTTATTCAATTACGAATCAGGTTCTCGTCGCTATGAATTGTGGAAAATAAAAGAAAATTYAACAAGACGTGACCGGAGTATCATGCCGGCATAGGTTGAACTAAGTGTAACAGCTTAATTTTATATGGTATCGGAATAAAATAAAACATTTTAAAATTATATTATGGAGACTTCAGAAACGCTTTCTTGAATAAAACTCACCAATATGAAGACTCGCTTGACCTGAAAAATAACGAAACTTATTGGTGAAAATTGAAGCCACTTTTAACGACAGCAGAGTGAGACAACAAAAATAGTGACAAACCACAGGCAGCCCGACCCTTGATTATGAATTAACACCAAATTTTATAAAATTAATTCACAAATATAAATGCCTAAATGCGCTGTAGACATTCGCAACTTCTGGAATATAACTCACAGGTACTATTAATGATRTTACTGACCTTTCYTTCCAACGGTTTTAAATCATGTTTTACTCCAATTACTCTTATTCGAACTAGAATTATAAAACAACGAGTTAAGACCTTAGTGTATAACATGCGATATTGTATCGTCTTGTTGCTGATTGATAAGTTAAGATTGGTTGCATTTACTTCTGACAACGTGAATTGTAAGTCTTTAATTAAACAAACACATGAAACGATGGTTTTTTAGGACAGTCACGGACGTCACGTCGTTATTGTCAATCGTATCGTCTATCTAGTTAAGTGCTTTGTCTGATTACATGCTTAATTCCAAAAATGAGGGTCACGTGATCAGTGTTTTTTTGCACGATTTGTTAAAATTTCGGTTGGGGCTAACATATGATTGGGGTTAGGACTGTTGTCTTAGGGTTAGGTTTGAGATTTGACAAAATTGCAGTCATCCATCAGAGGGKTCACAGAAGGCCTGAGATAACCATCCGCTAGCACGCGAGGGAACGCCCTAAAAACGTCCCATCATGCAAGGATACCACTTGCCTGTCTGTCCTGGATTGTAGGTGGATTTGTCTGTCTGAATGAAGAAAGCTTCTTTGTTTTCCGTTTTCTCGAGAAACAACTGTTGTTCTTTCTTGAATTGATGTTTGCCGTCTTGTGAAACACCGTGAACCTGTAGCTTGATCTTGGTGTTATCTTTGACAGTTACATTTTGTGGAACCTTGTGAAAAAATGAAATATCATGAAAAATCTCTGCGAAAATTCCATGTTGCTTGACACAATAATTTCTGATTYTCCGTGAACTGATTTTATATAAACTAAATAATCAAATTTCAGTGTTGGTTCTTGAGTTATGGAAATTCAATCATACAATATGCTATAGTGATAATTACGTCATGGGTCCATAGAATCAGTTCACAGAGAATCGGAAATTAATGTGTCAGGGGTCATAGGTATTTTGAACGTGAACGCGATTAGAATCCGAACCATAGGATAACATACCTTTATATCAATTGTAGAATAGGAATTGCCAGGAACTGTTTTAGTGGCAACAGAAATACTCTTGTTGCCACTAGGAGCCTTCAAAGATGCTGTCACTTTCCACGTCATATTGTTACCATGGAGATGCACGTTCAACCGCTGTACAGTACCAGTTCGATACACCCAGGGTGTAGTGATCAAATATCCTCTGAAAATGATATATGAACTAATAAACTCGATAATTGTCATAAAGCCTACATTTGACACAAGTCAGTCTAGCCCGATATCTTTCTCTGCGTTTAACAAACAACTATACCAACTCTTGAATTCTTTTATTGTACATGGGACATTTTTTAAGAAATAAGTTCCTCCTTCCTCTGATCATTAGGTAGCTTTTAATCGCGTTGTATAGCTTCCAAGTCTCATGTGTCAGTGTTTTCATGAATTG